TTTTGGAAGAAAAGTATTGTAAGCTAATTCGTCACAAAAGTTTGCTAGCTCAGGGGGGGAAAGGCTTTGTTTATTTCAGTTTCTGTTTCACATTAAAGCTTCACTTATCATTGAGCAGAAAATCACTGTACAGTGTTTGTACAGTCAGCGCAGGGGAAAAAAAAAAAAGAGCCAGGAGAAGAAAAAAAAAAACATCACCTCTGTCCTAATGGAGTCGTGTGGTTAAGTATGCTAATGGACCATATGCTGATCCTCTGAACAGCTCTCACCTTCATTTTTATCTCCTCTCGCTCGTTTCTGTCGCTCTCTTACTGTACTGCCTCTTCATGCATAAAACACGAAATTTAACCTCCACCTACAGACAGCAATACCTTTCTCTACCTGCCAAGTGCTCACCCACGTGCTGATCCACCCATGCACTCTCTCCGACATGATTCCGACTACTCAAAACAGTCCGCGAGGTGGAAGGTGGAGGGCTTACTTCACCTTTTTAAACTTGGAAAAAAAAATTATGCAGGACATGAAACAAGAGGCAGAGCGTGAAGCTGGTGTCTGCCCCTCTCAAAAGGTAGCTCTGGTGGTGGTGTTGGTTTCATTTGCAAATGAAATTACTCTCATAAATAAGAGCTGTAGGTGTGTAGCCATAGCAACGTAACACTTTGCTGAGAGAGGATACTTTTTGTTTATCTGGCAACGACATTTCCCTCCCTGTTTTGTTCTGAAAGTGTTATTGCATATGACTCAGATTTTTTTATAGGTATATTTAGCTTCTGTACTTCTTTGTTTTTGATTCTGAACTTTAACTCAGCATGTTCTGCTCAATTCTGTATTGATCAAACTCTGCTGAATGATCTTATCGGTGTCCTGTTGTTGTGAGCAGAGAGAAGAAGAAAAACTAAACCTTGTTCTTATCAGAGATCGCCTTCAACTGCTACAGTTTGTGCGACAGCGTAGGTGTGTGTGTGTGTTTGTTATTAAGCCAAACATTCGGAGCAATATAAAGCATGGCTGTGATTGATAGCCCGTTTTATACCACCTGGAGAGGGCAGATAATGTTGACACTGAAATTTATGAAGTTTTTAATTGAACTAAAGCCTCCATCTGCATGCAACACTGACGACTTAATTTGCCGTTTAATTGTAATCAATAAAGCGTCATATGAGCGTCTCCTCGGGCCAAAGTCACTGAGATTATTCTCTGGCTTTTACAGTTAACGGAAGTCATTACCAACAAAAAGGATAAAGTCATTAAATCAACTAAAATGATCTCCATCATTTACTGGTGCAGCTCATGGCGGCGTCCTGATTGTGTGTCCCTTTCTATAAGCTAAAAAGGAATGAAGGTGTTTTAAGCACCGTTTTGCACATCCATAATTCATGCTCAATATATTCAAAGCAGTACACTGTACAAAGGGAGGAGGCGTTCTGTCTCACTAGAAGCATACAGCCACTGGATCATTTACATAAAATCATGAGACTTCTGTTCAGCAGATGAGGAAAATCCTCATCCGTCTGCTTCAAGGACAGCACGGTGATATAATATGGATCCATTTATTTATTCAGTGATCTACAACTTAATATCATCTGTATGTTTATCTCCTACTGTTTGCATTATAGGCAGTAAGAATGAGAGTATAACCAGCTCAGCTGTCTCAGACCTTTGGGCTTTAGGCTCCCTCTCAGTTATGAGGCCGATACTTTTTATCTGGAAGGAGCAAACGCCAGCGTGCTTCATGAATGAGTCATGGCTGGTAGAGAACCTTGACTTGCTAAATATGGAGAGAGCAGCCAATTTCCGATCGGAGTCTCAGTAGGCACTGGGATATAGTCATGAGATATCTGTGTTTATATTCCTCTGCTAAGATCTGTTCACTTTTGATTCTATGTTTATTATGTACAGGGACCTTCTGGATGTATTAAATAATATCCATTACACATGTGAATCATTATGTCACATCCTATTTAGTTTGTATGAGCCTGATGTGTTGTGTTTTGGTTTTTGGAGTTTAACTTGTTGATTTGCTTGTTGTTTGGGTTGTGTGTGTGTGTGTGTGTGTGTGTATCTGTTTTTCCTTATTTCTTAGCTTGTATTTGTAGATGCATATGTTCCTCAACAACAAAAAAATCATCAGTACGAAGTGAAAATATTCACACACATTGTCGTCTTTAAATGGACAGATATTCAAACTGTAAAATAAAATAAAGATGTGGCAGACTTTTGGATGTCAGCTGATGTCTTTGTCCAAATATGAGATACAATACCTTTTATTTTTTTAAGCTCTATAATTTACACCCATAATAACGATCAAGTTAGAGGTTCAGTTTATACTAATGATGTTAGCCATGATGGTACTCGAGTAACCACAGTGCTGAGTGGTCTTTCAATATTAATATTCTTGGTTTCAGCACAATGAGGAAGCTTTCAAACAATATTAAACAAAGTATTTTATTGGCATTACTTTTAGCTCTGTTTTGATCTCTACCACCTCCTGAGGGATGAATGTGTCTAGTTGTTGATTGTTCTGCTGTGTTTACTAGCCAGTCGGCAACAGATTGATGGATAGCTGTTTGGTGCTTAAGGCGGGTTATATAAAGTCAGAAAATTAAAACAGCTGCATGTTGCAGCTGGATTTTTATTTCAAAGATTGATTTTTGGGTGTTTTTGTGCCTTTATTGTACAGACACAACAGTGGAAAGGAGCCACGGGTAGGACTCGAACCCGGGCCACCCGCCTAGAGGACCACGGCCTCCATACATACAACCACTGTGCCACCAGCGCGCCTGGATTAATTTTTTTAGAGTAAAGGAAAATGCTTCATTGTCAATATGAATATATTGATCAGACCAGCTTTTGAAATGTCTTCAAGTATTTCATCTGATTAAAAAAAGTGTAATATCAGCACATAATGTAACTTTTTAATGGAAATTTCACGATGAATATCTTAAGAATAATGTGTTGTTGGTAAACAGATGCACTCTGACTGTGTGACTCACTGAGTTTACAAAAAGAGGTCCATTAGGCATTTTCTGTTTGCCATCTGCACCTCCATCAAGCTGGATAAACACACTGAGACTCACTGGCAGAGAGGAGACGGGCAGCCTTTGCTGCATGACGTCCAGCTCTGGTGATGTCTTCATGAAGACCAGCTGTATGGCCCACAGGCTCAAAAGACCCCCCCCCATGACCAAGCACCCTTAGACAATGGATTCCATTGGTTCCACAGATGCCGTGCACCAAAATACGACTTTCCCTACAAATACTGAAAAATGACTTCTTTTTTTTTTTTTTACACTGAGTTACACACTATGCATCTTCATCTGAGTGTAGAGACCCAGCAGGTCAACCATATTAAAATGTGTCATGTGAAAAACAACAAAATCAGCAGATTATTTCACATTTTGGATGCAAAGAAAAACATGGAAGTGTTATGTAACATCAAAGAGGGACCAAGCCAAGTGGAAGCATGCTCAACTGGAGATAGAGCTCGCTGTGGCTGACAACCATATGGGACAGATGTCACTGCACCTCTGATCAAAGCAGGACGACTCTGGGTGCGTGTGTGTGTGTGTGTGTGTGTGTGTGTGTGTGTGTGTGTGTGTGTGTGTGTGTGTGTGTGTGTGTGCCCCTGAGGAGATTCGTTTTCTTCCCCTCTCTCCTTTGCTTTATTGGAAGTGTGATCCCAAGGGCACCTAGATATGTTTGAAATGTTGCTAATTAAACCTTTAGGCTGCTTTAAGAAATAACATGCTTACAGATCATTTATTCAAATTAGACTTTAGCATCGCCATGGTGCACCTTAACTTTTTAATTTCACATTATAGTTCATGTAACATCTTTATTTATAATACTCTTAGAATAAACACGTTTTATGCATCTCATTTCTTTAATTTCTCGCTTCCTGTTTGAACCATGCAGTCCCTTCTCACCATATGTATCCAATGTAAACACTGTTACATGAGCCAAATGTATTGTGTTTTCTTTGCGGCTGTATGAACCATATGCTTCTCAGTACATAATAAAATCTGAAGACTTTCTTCTAAAGTGACAAACAGCATGGATTAGGTTTTGTTCCCTTACCTCCCCACATATCTTTTTCTCGTCAACATTTTCTCTCCCCTCTGGCACGTTAACTTTGTTGTAACCAATCACAATGAAACCATTAAGAGAAAACCTTATTTATCACCGTTAAGTGACCTTCTAAATGACTGTGGAATTTTAAATGGACAATTAGCAGTTAATTGGCTCTTATTTGTCATTAGAACCAAAGTCTTGACTGATTTCACTTGACAACAGCTAACAGAACTTTCTCTCACCCTCTAAAGGGCCGGGGAATTTTCTGTTCATGTCGACTATGGCGCCCCCTATTGACAAAGCACTAGTCCTCATGTCTTTGCTAATCTTGACCTGTACATCTGTTTTTGTTTTTAAATTCTGAGTTCTTTCATTAGTTGAAGGTTTGCCTTTTAACAAGGCAATTTTTTCTTACCACTGTAACTTTTTCTGCTTTGCTAAAGTGCTCATGATGGATAGGCCGGGTCTTTGTAATATAACAATGAGTAAGGTCTTTTACTTGCTTTTTGTAACATAACAATGAGTAAGGTCTTTTTACCTGCTCTTTTGTAATGTTAACAGACAAAGAGTAAGGTCTTTTACCTGCTTTTTGTAAAGTGTCTCGAGATAACACTTGTCATGAGTTGATGCTATACAAATAAAAATTGAGTGAGTGATTGATTGAAGGTGTCACTCAGTGAATTTTTGCTATTTCTACAGCATGCTGATTTTTACATTGTCTGACACCTACCCTGCTGCAAAATTACTCTAAGGAAATAATCGGTCTTGGCGGGGGGGCTCCTGAGGCAAGACATGGAATAAAAAGAATTACGCGGAAGTGGTGGAAGAAGCAGCTCCCTCAGACTTTCTGCAAAAAACACAGTAAGGCGCCGGCCAGAGAAATTTCAGTGAAAACTTGGCTCTCTGCATTTACACATGCTGCTTTAAACTCCTCAAGTTTATTGAAAGATTGAACAAGGCTATACAGTACAGGCATGAGTATTCGTTTCAGGCTCACTTCGTTCTTTTCTGAGCGCCAGTGTCTTTTTCAATTGTTCCCAGTTAGGAGAGAGCGTTTGCAGCAGCAGGCGGCCGCTTGGTGAAAAGGTGCAGCACTGAGCGTCCCTTTTCTAAGCGCTAATTCTGTCTCCTGCAGATAGTGCCCAGTACCCACATCCTCCTCGCTCCATCTCCAGACAAAGTATGAGGGCACACATCCTCCATGTGATGCTCATATGTTAAAGGGGAAAAAAAAAAATGTATCTTCAATATAAAACATTTAGGACAAAGCAAGCTGTTTTTAAGAGACTGTTGTCATAGAGACATACATCATGTCAATTGTGTTTAGAATACACTAGACTAATTCAGCTTAATTAATTTTACATCATAATGAAAAGTTAACATTTTATCCAGTTGTTTATAAGATAGATGTGGAAGAGGTTTTTACAGAAGAGGAGGAGGGAGAGATCGGAGGATGTACAGACGGCGGCAAACACACTTCAGGCCTTCAGCGGGCGTTTGTGGGAGATTTGTGGTTTCTCCACCTGGTCGAGTCAACCCCTCACAACCTCTGCCATCCCGCTTTCACCTTCCACAAGGATTGAAGGAGATTAAGTGCCTCAGTGGAACACGGTGCCAAATTAAACATCTTCTCTCTATCTGTATCACTTCCCTCTGCCTTTCTCCCGGGCTCCTCAAGGTCTTCTTTTTTTTTACCTCCCCTCTGCGTCTGACCACTGATTGCTTTTTCTCTCCTCTGAAAATCCCTCCTTTTACACAAACTGAGCTTGTTTTTGAGGCCTTGCTACAGGTAGGGTTAATGCAGCCTGGTTTTCAGCCAGATGCAAAGCTTCAGGATTTACCCTCCTAGATATGAAAGGTAACCCTGTGGATGCAGCCAGAATAAAGAACATTGGACAGTAGTTTATGTTTAATGTCCTTTTGGCTTATTTTGTTCTAAAGTGGCCAAATACTGTGACTGTTAAACAACCAATTAAACAACCAATAAAAAAACTACTGTCTTGACTCTCTATCAACGTCACCTCGACCAATAAAAGAGCCAAACATCTCTGGGAGAAAATAAGCCCTGTTTGGAGGGAATAATTGACCGCCACCTACTGTGAGTTATCATCGCAATTCTCCACAGACAGATCAATGCAAACCCATTCATCAAAAAGGCCGTGCGTGTACGTGTGAGAGTGTGTGTGTTTGAGTGCACCTACTTGTGGACTTCCCCAACAACATGAACTCTAAATCCTCACGCGTCCACCCACAGCTGTCCGCTCGCTCTTGTGTTAGATGATCGATCACCAGAGGAGCTCCTGGTCGGGTTTTTAATTTCAAGGGAGTTCCGAGCGATCGATGTGAAAGCTGGCTGAGGAGGAGGAAGAACAGGATGAAGATGACCTTTACATGTAGTCATAAAACTGGTTAAGCCTCCTGTGACAAGACTTTATAGATATGCAGGACAAAGTCAGTGACTTTCTGTGTATTGTTTTAATGGATTATTTCATTAAAAGCGGCTTGAAATGGATTTCAACAAAGCTGGTTGTCTCCTAAATGGAAGGATTGTAGCCATTAGCATTAGCCATTAGGGCCGTCACTTAATCTGCCTATAATGAAGGAAGATAGGCCGACTGCACCATCTGTAAATAAGCAAAATGAAAGACAAAAACTGAGAAAACTAAGAAGCAGCTCCAGATTGATGATAATAACTTTGAACTACAACAGCAGTAATGTGATGCAACTTTTTCAGCACCACATTAAAGGAAAACCATGAATAAAGTTTAGGCTATCCTTAAATAGCTCAGTGCTTTTGTCAAAATGAAAAAAAAACGTACTATGAAGAGCAGATGGTTGTTACGGAAATAGCTCTAATAAAGGACTCTGGAGAACTAACCGTAATCATATCAATCCACAGAATTCAGTCTAGACAATGTGACGTCGGCCTGTTTACTATGGGAATGTCACAGTACTCTGCCTGCTGGCCACGCCCACCTCATCAAGCTCAATTCAGCTCACCTGTGCACACAGCTGCTCCTCATCAGCAATGAAGAGTGTATGCAAGCTTCTCCTGCTCACCAACACTTTGCCAGACTGTTCTTTTACTTTCAAAAGTTTCCAGCATTCTCCCGTCCTGTGCATTGATTACCTGGAATAGATTACCTGCAGCCTTCTGTCTCTGACCTCGAGTTCTGTATCTTTTCTGCTCCTCTCCTGGGCTGTTTGACATTTCCAAGTGTCAGTCTAACATTTTGAGTTTTCAAGTATACCTACCTGTTGATTCTTTTGGTTCAGTGGCTGCTTAAGAGTGGCCACGCTTGCCACTGAGTGTGGATACCATGGTCAATAATCATGGACTGCTTTCCGAGTTCCAAACCTAGTGCCTCCTCGATCCCGTCTTAAGTCTGTTGCCCCCACGATACAGTTTCCCTGTTTTGAACTTTTGTGTAAGAGTGTGTCTGCCGGCTCTGAGCCTCACTCATCTCTTTCCGGGTCAGATCAGCCAGAGCTCCTGAACTATTACAAAGACTATTCCATCTTCTAGCCTAAAGACCGAGCTGAACCTTGCTGTTAATGCTTTGACTGGTACAGAGTCACACAGGAAACTATAATTAAAAATCCTTACCTGCAAATCTTGTATTTTTGTGTGATGCATTTGGGTTCTAAAGAACCTACCATTACAGGGAACAAAGAGGACATTTACAAAAAGTTTAAAGGTTCTAAAACGGTACCCTATGACAGTGAAAAGTTGTTGTTGCCATCAAATTTGAAATGTGTTTAACAAAAAAAGAATCACATTCCTCAAGAATTGTTTAGCTTTGATATAAGTGATTTAAAATTGATATCAGGATCCTTGAAAGTTTCTGAATCCATAACGGTGTATTTAAACCTTCACTTCAAATTAAATTATCCCGAAAACATTTGGTAATGTATACAATACAGCAATAAACCCATTTGATCGCAATGATAGTGATTATAGATAGTGATAGTGGTATTATGTGAATCTGAGTTTTAATGGAAAGATCAGGAAGAGAAAAAAAATAGTCTCTTTGTAGCCTCAGGTCTGCCAAGAAGACTGAATACAACCTAACAAGCAAACAAACTGCACTAGCAAGACTCCTAATGTATGAGCATGCCATAATACACTCAGCTACCCCCGGGGCACATCGGTATTAATTTAGCTGTCATATAGGATTGGATTCTGCTTCCAATGCAGGGAAACATGCAGGGCAATGTCGATATTATCTATTCTGAAGAGAAAGTGAAGAGCAGACGAACAGGATCTCTTCCCCACATCTTCAACAGGCCGTCTCACAGATTGTCAAAGAGTTGTATGTTGACAGGTCTTTGACATATTTATGGTCTTCTCACAAACTGGTGGAAAGTATGTGACATGAAAAAAGGTTAAAGGAAATGTATTTCAGGGGGAGGCTGTGGCTCAGTTGGTAGTCGTCGTCTCTCAACCAGAAGGTTGAGGGTTCGATTCCCAGCTCCTGCAGCAATATGTCCGATGTGTCCTTGGACAAGACATGCCGTATATGAATGATTAGTTACTTCTGATGGGCTCACTACATACCAATCACTGCCATCACTGTGTGAATGGGTAGGTGTGACATGCGGTGTAAAAGTGCTTTGAGTAGTCCGAAGACTATTCAAGCTGAAGTCCATTTAACAATTTATCTTAGATAGGTCAGTCATAAATGTGACGTATGGAGTGTTGAATGCAAACTAAACCAAACCAGCTGGTGGAGGCCCGCTAGGTAGAGAGCAGAGAGAGATGTTAGTGTTGAAGTCAATGTTAGAAAGGACCATGCAGTGATGCAAAACAAAACTAATTTATTATACCCTTTTGTGGTTTTCTGTGTATGTCCATCTGGGAGGAGGCCCTGGGGTAGAACCAGAGCTCTCCGGGGAGACGATATATCCCATATGTCCTGTGAATAGCTCAGGATCCATAAGAGGAGCTGGAAATGGTTGCTGGGAAGAAATACTTCTGGGGTTAACAGCTTGGCTTTCAGCCTTTACAACTTTGACATGGAGGTAAAGAAACATGGAAACAATGGATGGATGGATGTATGGATGGATGTATGTATGTATGGATGGATGGATGGATGGATGGATGTATGGATGGATGGATGGATGGATGGATGGATGGATGTATGGATGGATGTGTGATGGATGTATGTATGGATGGATGGATGGATGATGGATGTATGTATGGATGGATGGATGGATGATGGATGTATGGATGGATGAATGGATGTATGGATGGATGGATGGATGGATGGATGTATGGATGGATGGATGGATGGGTGGATGATGGATGGATGATGGATGATGGATGTATGGATGTATGGATGGATGGATGGATGGATGGATGATGGATGGATGATGGATGGATGGATGGATGTATGGCTGTATGGATGGATGGATGGATGGATGATGGATGGATGGATGGATGGATGGATGGATGGATGGATGGATGGATGGATGATGGATGATGGATGTATGGATGGATGGATGATGGATGGATGATGGCTGGATGGGTGGATGGGTGGATGGATGATGGATGTATGGATGGATGATGGATGGATGGATGGATGGATGGATGGATGGATGGGTGGATGGATGGATGGATGGATGGATGGATGGGTGGATGGATGATGGATGTATGGATGGATGTATGGATGGATGATGGATGTATGGATGTATGGATGGATGATGGATGGATGGATGGATGGATGGATGGATGTATGGATGGATGTATGGATGGATGGATGGATGGATGGATGGATGGTGGATGGATGTATGTATGTATGGATGGATGGATGGATGGATGATGGATGTATGTATGGATGGATGGATGGATGATGGATGTATGGATGGATGAATGGATGGATGATGGATGATGGATGGATGGATGGATGGATGATGGATGTATGGATGGATGGATGGATGGATGGATGTATGGATGGATAGATGGATGGGTGGATGATGGATGGATGATGGATGATGGATGTATGGATGGATGGATGGATGGATGGATGGATGATGGATGGATGGATGGATGGATGTATGGCTGTATGGATGGATGGATGATGGATGTATGGATGGATGGATGGATGGATGGATGGATGGATGGATGATGGATGATGGATGATGGATGGATGGATGATGGATGGATGATGGATGGATGGGTGGATGGGTGGATGGATGATGGATGTATGGATGGATGATGGATGGATGGATGGATGGATGGATGGATGGATGGGTGGATGGATGGGTGGATGGGTGGATGGGTGGATGGATGATGGATGTATGGATGGATGTATGGATGGATGATGGATGTATGGATGGATGATGGATGGATGGATGGATGGATGGATGTATGGATGGATGATGGATGGATGGATGGATGGATGGATGGGTGGATGGATGTATGGATGGATGTATGGATGGATGATGGATGTATGGATGGATGATGGATGGATGGATGGATGGATGTATGGATGGATGATGGATGTATGGATGGATGATGGATGGATGGGTGGATGGATGTATGTATGGATGGATGGATGGATGGATGGATGGATGGATGGATGGATGGATGATGGATGGATGGATGGATGGATGGATGTATGGATGGATGGATGTATGGATGGATGGATGGATGGATGGATGGATGGATGGATGTATGGATGGATGGATGGATGGATGGATGGATGGATGATGGATGGATGGATGGATGGATGGATGGATGTATGGATGGATGATGGATGGATGTATGGATGGATGGATGGATGGATGGATGGATAGATGGATGGATGGATGGATGGATGGATGGATGGATGGATGTATGTATGGATGGATGGATGGATGATGGATGATGGATGGATGGATGGATGGATGGATGTATGGATGGATGTATGGATGGATGATGGATGGATGGATGGATGGATGGATAGATGGATGGATGGATGGATGGATGGATGGATAGATGGATGATGGATGTATGTATGGATGGATGGATGGATGGATGGATGGATGGATGGATAGATGGATGGATGGATGGATGGATGGATGGATAGATGGATGATGGATGTATGTATGGATGGATGGATGGATGGATGGATGGATGGATGGATGTATGGATGGATGGATGGATGGATGGATGGATGGATGGATGTATGGATGGATGGATGGATGGATGGATGGATGGATGGATGGATGGATGGATGATGGATGATGGATGGATGATGGATGGATGTATGGATGGATGGATGGATAGATGTATGTATGGATGGATGATGGATGTATGGATGGATGGATGGATGGATAGATGGATGGATGGATGGATGGATGGATGGATGGATGGATGGATGGATGGATAGATGGATGGATGGATGGATGGATGGATGGATGTATGGATGGATGGATGGATGGATGGATGATGGATGCATGTATGGATGGATGATGGATGGATGTATGGATGGATGGATGGATGGATGGATGGATGTATGGATGGATGGATGGATGGATGAATGATGGATGTATGGATGGATAGTTGGTCGGTCTGTAATTTCCCTCAAATACATTAAAGCTAATGTAAAGAGCCAGAGTAAAACATTTTCAAAAAAGCTTTATTCAAGTTGAGTACATATCTTTAAAAAAAGAAACGATCTTAAGGACAGGACCAAAGAAATTGTAATTTGTCAAATGTCCCAGATCTGGTGGGGTGAGACCCACTAGTAGTCCCAGGAAGATTGAAAGTTTAACCATGACTGACAGGTCAGTTTCAGGTGTGTTGAGGGCTAATTCATTTTCCTGAAGCGTACATTTGGGGGAGATTTGGAGGAGGCTTACTGAAGGTCAACAACAGCAGTCATCCCAAACTGAGCGCTGTCAGATGGTGAGAGGCAGTGGAAGATTTGTGCTCAAGGTTTTTGTTCTGCTATAGTGGTGCTGGTTGGTACAAAACCAAAACA